GGGGATTCAAACCCGCCACCTTAGGTGTATGTGGCTGGCGCCTTAGCCACTTGAGCCACAGGTGCCGAGCCAGTATTATTTTTTTAAAATGGGTTTCACCCTAGACTTTTACTATTTATATATTTATATATGGCTTTATACAGTATTTATACAGTATTTTTACTATTTATATATTTATATATACTATTTTACTATTTATACTATTTATATATTTATATATTTATATATGGCTTTATACAGGATTTATACAGTATTATCTTTTTAAAATGGGTTTCACCCTAGACTTTTACTATTTATATATTTACATATGGCTCTGACGTTTCCATATATATTTTACATTACTCTACATTTTGCTTATTCCCTTTATAGATTACTAGTAAACATGAGGTTAAGCAGATTACTCAGAGAAGCAAGGAAGAGCTTACGGAAAGGAGAATAAAGGTGCTGATGTTATCATGAAAGCCAAGGGAAAAATCAGAGCATGGGAGTGAAGGGGAATTGAAATCAGAGTCTGGGATACTGCAGGTGACTCAGAACCCAAACCACTCTCCACCCTCAGCTTATCATTTGCATTAATATGACTTTACTTTTCCACTCTCTTCATCCACATAATTGTACTTTCCAAGAGATTCTTTTCCAAGTAAATGACTTGATGGCTCATCACAGAACTTTTGGAAAGAAGAAGCAACTCTTCAGTAGTAAGCATCAATATACAATTTAAGGCCTAAGGTTTTTTCATCCCTTGCCTCAAACATCTTCTTGATATTTTGACAAAAACCAGACTGCTGTTTTATGTTCTCCACCCATCCTATTCAAACCCCCATTTGACCACTCTGACCTGCCTCAGGGGTTCAAAGACCTGTCTCAACAAACTCCAAATTCTCATACATTCTGACTTTACTGTCACTCCTCTGAGATGTTGGCAAAGCTCTCTTGTGGTGGTTTCCCTTACAACTAAAAAGCAATAAACTTACCTTTATCAACAGGTTGGGTTGATAATACTTAGGGAGCAGGCATTCAACATAACACAATTCTAGAGGATAATTAGACCTATGGGAAGAGAGGGCTCAGTCAACAGGAAGCTCAGTCCCTCTGAATACCTCTCTCTCTCAGCAGTTGCCACCCACACCTCTGGTGTCACCTTCACCTCTGATACCCTCTGGTGTTACCTCCGCCTCAGATATCCTATGGAGCCCCTGCCTCCCTCTTCTTTACCTAGTTGTATCTCAAGGCCCTACTTAAAATATCACCTGACTTCATCTAGTAGAATCTTAATTTTACTTCTGTTACACATTTACCAAGAGGTACCAAAAAGTATTGGTGGACTATTATCTCCTGAAGAACAAGGTAAGGGGATATATATGTGTAGGGAAAATGGGGACTAAAGACCCCTTTCTTGGCAAGGGAAAGCACCTCCAGAAAAAGAAGAATACTAAAAATTAAGCTGAGTGAGTCAGAACAAAGAAAAGTCGGCTACCATGTTTTCCCCAAAATAAGACCTACCAAAAAAATAAGCCCTAGCAGGATTTCTGTGCATTTGTTAAATATAAGCCCTACCCTGATAATAAGACATAGTGATAGGCATGGCTATGCAGTGTATCTGCATAGAGGCACAGAGAGGAAGACATCACCTGAAAATAAGCTCTAGTGTGTCTTCTTGAGAAAAAATAAATATAAGACAGTGTCTTATTTTTGGGGAAACACAGTAGTTTATATTTAAGCTACCCATTGCTAGCAAGCTTCTTGCCTTTTCTGAAATTCTAGCCTATTGGGGATACAGCTTACAAACACCCTGTTGGGTCTGTGAGCACTCTGAGGAAAAATAGACATAGAAGAGTCTATGACAAGACCTAGAAAGATACATTAACTGGATCATCTCCTGCCTAGTAAACAGTCAAAGCAGATACCCATTGTAGAGATTTGCATTTGCCTGGGGCAGAGATCAAGGGAGTAGCTTGAGACCTGAAATATGGGCAGAAGAGCTTATATCCCTAATTGCAGAGGAAGATCCTTTGTGGTGGTAATGGGAGGGAAATTCCTCCCTGCCACCGGATTCCTCAGCGGAGATTAACACCAGTGGCATTTTACTCCACAGGGAACTAGCACCTCCCTAGAAATCTGTGTGTATGATCTCAAGCAGGAGGCTCTCCCAATATAAGGCTCAGATTTCAGATTTCTCCAGTCTACCCAAACCCTTAAATAATAACAATAGGAGCTGATATGCTAAGTGCTGACATCTTTGTTCTCTCCCTCCTCTTACCCTCTGGGCAAATAGACTCCAATAAAAGCAGAGTGGAGCAAACATTCTGCGCCATTGCTGGGCAACGGATCCCTGAGTTCCCACCTTTAATTCTATTCTGTGTCTCACGTCTCTTTCTTTGCCGTTGTTTTAAACTTTATATTTCTTTGGTTGGTCATCGCCAGTTCCACAGGTCTTAGCAGACCCTGTCCCCAGGGTGGGACCCCAACATATATGTTACCTAATAATCTCTAATGAACTCAAATTAGTCTAGTAAATAATATAAAAGAATATGGGGTATGGGCCTTTCATGAACTACAGAAGAATAACTGATAGTAGTACTAATGGAATAATGATCTAGAATATAAATAGGGAAGCTGGTCCTCCCTCATCCCAAGAAATCAAGACACTAAAAAGCTGCCATGAGAATGAGTGGCAGAGGGAGTGATGTGATCAGTGGGAGGCCTCAGAGATTAGCTATCTAAATGGACAGAGGCTAGATCACAGGTAACAACAGAACAGACTCAGAGCCAAACCTCAACCTTTGTAGCTGTGGAAATTGGCCCAGAATGTCTACGATTTGGCCAGATTGTCTATTTTTTGCCCCTCCTCCCCTACCTCAGGACTAATCACAGAAAACCAAATATGCTCACCAAATCAATCACGTAAGATGCCCGGCTTCTGCTAATAGCTAGCCTCTAGTTTTCTTATGTCCACAACTTCCAGCCAGAGAACACTTCAGGCCTCCCCGCTGTCTCACTATAAAGCTTTTCTACTTTCCTGCCTGCTTTGAGTCTGCCAAACCAGGTGATGGTGGCTGACTCCTCTGCTATAATAAGTTCTGAATAAACAGCCTCTGCTTGTTCTCATTTGAGTGGTCTTCTTTTATTTTCACAACTATTTCAGCTTAAGGGGTAGATAAAATAATAAAGAAAGGTTACAGACATAAAAGATTTTTATTTTATTCATACTGATAAGACACACACAAAAGAGGTCAGTAGGGGGAATTCCCTGAGTTGGATAGAGATGAGAGTTTAAAAGATAGTGTTTAAGGGAAGGCATCTATTGTAAGTGAGGTAGCCAAGAATCAGAAAGATGAGAGTGCCCAGAGTATGGAGGGAATATGTTGACAATAGGGGGGACAATATCTGTGATTTAACATGAAAAAGGTCCCAAAAAAAGAGAATGACATATTTTAAGTGATTAGAGGAAGTTGGGAGTGCTTTATTTTATTTTATTTTATTGAGACACTCAAGATGTTGCCCTGGGTAGATTGCTGTGGCATCACAGCTCCCAGCAAACTCTAACTCCTGGGCTTAAGCCATTCTCTTGCCTCAGCCTCCCGGCAGCTATTTTTTGGTGATAGTTGTCATTGTTGTTTGGCAGGCCTGCGCTGGCTTCAAACTGCCAGCTTTGGTACATGAGGCTGGTGCCTTAGCTACTTGAGCTACAGGTGCTGAGCCTATTTTTTCTTTCTTTCTTTCTTTTTTTTTTTTTTAGAGACAGAGTCTCACTTTGTCGCCCTTGATGGCATCACAGCTCACAGTAACCTCCAGTTTTTAAGCTTAGGTGATTCTCTTGCCTCAGCCACCCAAGTAGGTGGGACTACAGGCACCCACCACAACACCCGGCTATTTTTTTGTTGCAGTTTGGCTGGGGCTGGGTTTGAACCCACCACCCTAGGTATATGGGGCCAGTGCCCTACTCACTGAGCCACAGGCACTGCCCTGCTTGGAGTGCTTAAATACTAGCACCAAGTTTTAAAATGATTAGATAGCTAGGTAGAGAGCATCATTGTTCTAGTTAATGGTTAGTATACTTTGAGAGCAGTTTTGTGCTTCCACATATCTATCCACATATGCCTATATCAGAAGACAATCTGATCATGTAAAAGCTTGCAAACTATAAATTACACTGATTATCTTTATGTTAGCAAAGAACTCTGTATAGAAATCCTTATCTCATATAATGACAACATATTAAAATTCCCCAACCTCAAACAAATTTAAAAATATTGTTACAAACCAATTGTATAGCTTTTCTTCTTAATTCCCATTCATTCCATTCATATGATCTTACAATAGTTGGTGGCAATATGTGTGTATCCGTCTGTGAGCTACTTTCACACTTTGTAATTGGTTTTATATAATGTTTGTCAACTTCTCTCATCTAAATAAATGGAGTTTTGTAATTAGTCCTTGTAAAAAAATAAACATTATTCACAATAACTAAAAATATTTAGCTAACACTGATAAAAGGTTAGGAAAACAAGAATCTTTGGACATGGAATATACTTGTAAATACCAACAAAGAAAACATGTTCATAATTAGTTAGCTAAATGAAATTATTTTTGTGGGCATTATGACTTTATGTTTTTATTTTGTTAATTTAATATAGCAGGTATATTTTGGAAGGGTAAAAGGATCCCTCATTCCCAAGTAAATACTTCTTCCTACTTTGTACAACTGGAAACATAAATGGACACTTTGTTGGAAATGGATAGAAATTGAATGTTAGGTAAATCATATCATTTAAACTATCAGAAACTCTTGAAGACATATCTTCAACTTGAACTACACATAGATAACACATCATTGTCCAAGGTTTTCGTTTTGTTCTGTTTTTAGTTGAATATGTTAGTTTCTGATGGAGAACCCGATATTAAATATTCAGTAAATCTAGGCTAAACAAAGATATAACTATACTAGATATGAAGTTGTTGAGAGGGAGTAGCAAAGGTTTAAAAAACTGGGGCCATAGTAAAGAGGAGGGAGAAGATATTAATTTCTTTTCCCAAATCAGGCAATACATAATGACTGAGTACCTAACAATTGAACTAATTTCTGCTTTTAAAATTATGATACAGTCAGGTGTGCTGGCTCACACCTGTAATACCAGCACTGTGGGAGGCCAAGGCAGGTGGATTGCCTGAGCTTGGGAGTTTGAGACCAATCTGAGCTAGAGCAAGACCCCCATTTATAAAAATAGCCGGGCATTGTGGTGGGCACCTGGCTTCTCAGCTACTCAGGGGGCTAAGGCAAGAGGATTGCTTGAGCCCAAGAGTTTGAGGTTGCTATAAGCTGTGACACTACACTCTACTGAGGGTGACAAAGTGAGACTCTGTCTCAAAAATAATCATAAAGTAAAATAAAATAAAATAAAATAAAGATACAGTTAGGGAGATAAAAACATGCAAAGAGATAATTAACAATACTGTATAGTACAAGGAAATGGCAAGTAAATAATACGACAATAAGCACTAGATAGAATTGCCTTCTATATAATAGGGGGGAAATTCACTTCCATAGGTATTGAAGGTCACTGAAAAACAGTTGACTGTTAAATGGATTAAATAGGCAGAAAGAAAGAGGAAAGCAACAGTAGGTGTGTAGGGAGGACTCGTGCATGAGCAGGAAACTAGGCACTACCTGTGCACAGCTCACCTTTCCAGTTATCTGGTCTCAGCCTTTCATGTTCTTTAAGCTAGTTTACAACTCTGTAAGTTATCAATGAGTGATAGAAAGGCCAAATAATTTTTGTCAATAGACACACACAGATTATCCTATCTGCATAGATTCCTTTTCCATATGAGAAAAAATCAGTGTCATGTCCATTTGCACATTCATTCAAATATTCCTGACCTAGGAATGAAACTGTTCTTAGGACTCTCTTTTGAATCTGTTATAATATCTACCTGATTCTCTCATGGATTAATGAGTAGATTATGCTCTTTAACACAACCATGTTTATAACTGATGAGAGTCATAATTTTACCCATTTTTGAAAATTGCCCTTTAACAAGTAGAAGAGCAGAGGAGGAAGATCAGGTTCATTCCAGACTTGCTTTCTCTCTGACAGACCATGGAAGAGACTGAGAGAAAAGGTATGTAGGCCTGGAATGCTGGGCCAAAGAATTTGGATTCCATTTTACAGATAAACCATTGAAGAGTTTTGATTTTGTTTTTAGAGACAGAGTATGAGATAATTTTAATCTCCCACCTTACATGCACTCTTTTAATAAAAACTAAGAATTTGAGCAAAAACAATTTTGTGAAGTATTGTAAGCCTTGTCAGAAGCTTAAGCTGCCTTGGACAAGCAGGCAAACCAGAACCTACAGAACAGGAGAAACCTTCTGTATAGAACTCTGATTGCACAATTGTTCACCCAAGCAGGTCGGGTTAATAGCCCTCTGTACAGGAGAACAATTCTAGGGTTACGTGCGTGATAATGTCTCACCATGTCTCACATAGGGTGGCTTCCAAGCTACAAGAAAAACAGAACTGTTACATTTAATTCCTATAATTAAATTAAGTGCTTATAAGAATAAATCACCTCCTTGCTCCATCTATTAAACTTTAACTTTATAGAAATTAAATTTAGAATATATGGTTGCTTAAGATATAATGTAGTTGTTTTTAAGTAGTTATTTTAGTTTTTTAGATTTGGTGTTTCCTTTTAAAGTTGAAATCAAAATAGATAATGTTAATTATACATTATTGATTAATGTGGTATATGTGATTTACTGATTATAAAAGGCTTTTGAAAATAAAGATGATTGCTACTTGCCATCCCATGAACAGTAGTCTGTTTCAAACTTTCATACAATTTTAGGTGTGGACTTAACACCTGGGGTGAGGCTCTCTCCGTTCTCTTACAAAACCTTCCACCAACAACAGAGTCTCATTTTGTTGCCCTCAATAGAGTGCTGTCGCATCACAGCTCACAGCAACCTCAGCTCTCGGGCTTAAGTGATTCTCTTCCCTCAGCCTCCTGAGTAGCTGAGACTACAGGCGCCCACCACAATGCCTGGCTATTTTTTTGTTGCAGTTTGTCCGGGGCCAGGTTTGAACTTGCCACCCTCGGTATATGGGGCCACACCCTACTCACTGAGCTACAGGCACTGCCCAAGAGTTTTAAATTTAAAGCAAAATGATGAATGACATTTTTCAAATTAGCAGAAAAATTAATTACTAAAATTTTCTCTGTTGTAAATTTTCCCCTTAAAATTTTTTAAGTATTTCGCTCCTGTAATTTTTTTTTTATTTTTTGAGACAGAGCCTCAAGCTGTCCCCCTGGGTAGAGTGCCTGGCATCACAGCTCATAGCAACCTCCAACTCCTGTGGCTGGCGCCCTAGCCACTTGAGCCACAGGAGCCGAGCCTTACGCTTCATTTCACATGTGATCTATCCCTAAGCCTCTCAATATATGTGACATACACACATTTACATACTTTTTTATTCAAAGAAAATATATAAACAAATTTGTGAGAAGGAAATGCACATTAAAAAGTAACATGATACCACCCAAAGTGATCCACAGATTCTGTACAATCTCTATCAAAATGCCAATGACATTCTTCACAGAAATTTAAAAACAGTCCTAAAATTCACATGGAACCACAAAAGACTATAAATAGCCAACCAATTCTGGGGGCGGAGGGGAGGGAAAAAAAGACAAAGATGGAGGGATCACACTATTTCACTTCAAAATATACTACTAATCTGTAGTAACCCAAACCACCTTGCAGTGCGGGTATAGAAACAGATACACAGATCAATGTGACAGAAGAGGGCACTGAGAAACACATTTATTTACAGTCACCTGATTTTTGGCAAAGGCACCCAACATACATTGTAGAACTCTGTCTGGTAAAAGTGCTAGCTGGTGGTTACATAGTGGTGAGAAGGACACTGGAAACTGAGAAGCAGGAGAAGGAGAGGGAGGCATAAGACCCACTGTCAGGCACAGTGTGCTCTTTTGGTGATGGGCACATTAAAAGCCCCAACTTGAGCAGTACACAATTCACCCATGTAACAAGAGCTCATGTACCCCACAATATTTTGAAATAAAAATTATTTTAAAAATATACTAAATAAATAGTGCTAAGGACTGGATATCCATATACAAAAGAATGAATTTGACTCCCACTTCTTACTATACAAAAATCAACTCTACGTGGATTAAAGTCTTAAATGTAAGACCAAAACCATGAAACTCCTGGAAGAAAACATAGGGGAAATGCTTCGAGACATTTGCTTTCACAGTCTTTTAGATAAGACCTCCCAAACCACAGGTAATAAAAGCAAAAATCAACAAATGGGATTACATAAAACTACAAAGCTTCTGCTTCCGCACATCAAAGAGAATAATCAATAGAATAAAGAGAAGACCTACAGAATGGGAAAAAATATTTGCAAACTGTTCATCTGACTAAGGATTAACATATATTAATATGAGGCAGTGCCTGTGGCTTAGTGGGTATGGTGCCAGCTCCAAATGCTGAGGCTGGTGGTTTCAAACCTGGCCTCGGTCAAACTGCAGCAAAGAAATAGCTGGGCATTGTGGTGGATGCCTGTAGTCCCAACTACTCAGGAGGTTGAGGCAAGAAAATCGCCTAAGCCCAGGAGCTGGAAGTTGCTGT